GAAGAATTCCAAAGCTTTCATAGTGATACAAAATGACATTATACAGTGACATGATACATACACTGTACTTACAGTACTGAGGAACCACTGAACCAAAGTCATTGCAGGACTAGAGCACCTAGCCCTTAACTATGGAACAGCAGAACCACAGCATTAGACAAAGAACTACACATTACACAGAGACACAATACATACATAGCACTTACGATACTGAGGAACCACTGAACCAAAGTCATTGCAGGACTAGAGTACCTAGCCCTTAACTATGGAACAGCAGAACCACAACATTATACAAATAACTAAACATTATACAGAGACATGATACATACACTGTACTTACAGTACTGAGGAACCACTGAATCAAAGTCATTGCAGGACTAGAGCACCTAGCCCTTAACTTTGGAACAGCAGAACCACAGCATTAATATTATAAAAAGAACCATTACACGGAGATGCAATACAAAAACATAAAGCAACAAAAAACAAGACAACCACCATTTTGTCAGCAGTGTTGAAGATACCAGGTGTCTGGTAATCTCGGCAGCTTGTAATTGTTGTATCGTACCAGTATAACCCTCTCCAGGCACTCATGGTGAATTCATTTTGGTGCTTAGTAACCTAGATCAAAGGCATCACGTGGCCCCCTCCAAAATACATTGACCACTGGGTAAAAATTTAGAGACCTAGGAACTGGGCAACAATTTTTTTCAGAAACCGTCTGATATTAATTTGCTAAGATTTCAACTTTAAGTGAAGTAGCAAATGAGTTTTTTAGGACTACCAATAATTATTGATAGTTTTTTTAAATACACTAGTTTACACTAGTTTTCATTTCAACAAAATGTCGATAACATTTCATCTTCGTTTGTTGCTGTTTTGCCAGGTATATGAAACCTGTGTTAAATGGTTAACTCCAAAAGGTTTTTGCTCTTTGACTGAATTTGAAAAGCTTTAATTTCCAAAAATTATTACAAAAAGGAATATAAACAACTATTGCCTAATTCCCAGGCCTCAAAATTTTCATTATGTGGTCAATGTGTTTCCAATGGGTCATGCGACCCCTTCACCTAGGTTACATCACTGAAATGAGTTCACCATGTGAATCTGGGGAAAGTCAAACAGGTACAATACAATAGCAAGCTACAAAGAAACAGGACACCCAATATCTACAGGTACATACTTGCAGTGCATGAAAGTACTGAATCTCAGTTATCGACCACAGAAACACAGCATACACTCACAACAATGAGGAACCACTGAACCAAAGCAATTGTAGGACTAGAGCACCTAGCCCTTAACTATGGAACAGCAGAACCATAGCATTATACAAAGAACTGCACATTACGCAGGGACACATTATACATACATAGCTTATGGGACAATACAATGGAACCACTGAACCAAAGTCATTGCAGGACTAGAGCACCTAGCCTTAACTATGGAACTGCAGAACCACAGCATTAGACAAAGAACTACACATTACACAGAGACTCAATACATACATAGCACTAGTTACGATACTGAGGAACCACTGAACCAAAATCATTGCAGGACTAGAGCACCTAGCCCTTAACTATGGAACAGCAGAACCACAGCATTAGAGAAAGAACTGCACATTACACAGAGACAGAATACATACATAGCACTTACGATACTGAGGAACCACCGAACCAAAGTCGTTGCAGGACTAGAGCACCTAGCCCTTAACTATGGAACTGCAGAACCACAGCATTAGAGAAAGAACTGCACATTACACAGAGACACAAGACAAACATAGGACTTACGATACTGAGGAACCACCGAACCAAAGTCATTGTAGGACTAGAGCACCTAGCCCTTAACTATGGAAATGCAGAACCACAGCATTAGACAAAGAACTGCACATTACACAGAGACTCAATACATACATAGCACTTACGATACTGAGGTACCACTGAACCAAAGTCATTGCAGGACTAGAGCACCTAGCCCTTAACTATGGAAATGCAGAACCACAGCATTAGACAAAGAACTGCACATTACACAGAGACTCAATACATACATAGCACTTACGATACTGAGGTACCAC